TGTCTAAGTGTTGAATGTCTAAGTTAGCCGGTCTAAACCATTTCCAATTTAATCAGCAAACGAAATGATTTGACCACTTATCATGCAAATCTTCTTTAGGAGCTTCATAAATGGTGTGTCGAGGCAAGTCGCATGAAACCAGACGACATACGAAGCAAAAAACACTAATAACAATAAAGATGAACAAATAGCCTCCTGGACTTGATAGCGGATAAACGTAATTACAGTGCTGAAAAACCTACCCAAATGGAACGACTTCGATTGGAATGGGAAAATTCTTATCGCCCAGTTTTTCTGATTGCTTACTGGCATCAGCGATGATATAAAATTTCTTGGCACTTGCCTGCACGATTTTTTCTTGAGTTAAGCATCCACCACCACCTGAAGGATCGTATACTACCTTTTTAGAATGATTCCTGTGACTTTAAACATAAAACGCAATTTCTGTTAGAACAGAATTGTAAACAGCATGCAAAAGAACAGCAGTATTCTGTAAATATGACATAAAGAAATGAGTTACCTTTTATACAGTTCAGATTACTGTCCACTTCGTCAGCCCCATCAATACACAAATCCAAATCAAGGGTATTTTCCAAATCAATTACTTGCAAACCAGAATCGATTAGCCACTGGCGAGTTGAGAATGAAGAAGGCACGCAGATGATATCTTTCACTGTACCATCGTTCACTTTTTCAGCCAGAAATTCAACGAAAAATTTGGCCGTGGTACCACTGCCAACACCTATCCTATAACCACTTTTTACATGCTGTTTACCGGCTGCATACGCTGCTGCTCGTTTTGCCGGGTCCAGAGCTGAACGTGTTTTCATTGCATCCTGTAACATCATTGTTTCAATACTAAATCCATTCAAAGTTTTGTGATTAATATAAAGAAATAAACTGAGGAGAGAATATTAGATACAGGCTATTCAATTTATCAAGCCAAAAAGGAAGAAATACCATGCTGGATCGGACGAGAAGCCCTACAATATTAAGGATATGTCGAAAATTTTCACTCTGAGTAACAATTTCGTTCTACAGAATCAAGATTATCTTATCTATGAAATAATTCCATTTTTTGAATAACTTTTCAGTCCCATTTTCATTTTTGGGAGGTAAAGAAGTCGTGAATGTTGCATTCGCGTTATTTGTAGTGATCAGGTTTTTTGATCCCATCACTGATGGATGGGATGGATTGACAATGTCAGCACACTGATACACTGGCTATTACTCATGTATTATTGAGTAGTATTCGCGAAATGCCTGGCATTCTTCCAAGTCGTAAGTTCAAGAAACTTGACCATTTTAGTCCATTTTTAATAATTTCTGATTTTCACCATCATCTCGATTTATCTTTACCGAACTTTTGCAACCAGTCGGTAAGAAAAACTAAGAATGTATGGCAAACTTTATTGGTATTGAAAGTGTTTGAAGATTTCTTGCGTCAACATCTTTTTTCACATTTTTATAAACAATTATTTAAGCAGGAGCAAAAAAATGAAATAAGAGAACAAACCATATTAGAAAAAGATGCCATCAGAGGTTTGTGAAAGAACCAGTAGTAATGAGTGAAAATAATTGAGTGTAATTGTTCAGTGTAGAGAAAGGAGTGGAAGTGCTACGGGATCAACACACAGTTCAAAAAGCAAAGGACCCACAGCACCACCACTGTTAGTAGTTGATGTTCTGATAACAAGCAAAGAATTCACATTAAAGATCATGGAAATGTGACCATTCCTCTCATACTCATCTGTAGCACTCTTTAACAAACTTATTCGAATTTCAGTTCGTTACTTCTAATAGTGACTAACAGTCCGAATGTTCTTCCACATTCCTTCATCACCACCCAACTAAACATTCCACAATTACTTTTCAAAAACTGCCGTCAAACTCTTGAATAGCTGTCGAGAATACCAAGTGTTCTTCAATAGAGTATCCCAGAAATTTCGAATCATTGTTAAAGGCTACAAAACTATCTATTCTTCCCTAACTATCTTTCCAATACTTATCTTTCCTTTTTTTAAAGCCTTGAACATCTTTCCTTCCCATTTGATCAAACACCAAGTGGAGGACAAATAATTGCATAATCTCATGGATTATTCTTGGAAAGACGTTTATTCACAAACCTACCAATTCGTTCTTCCCTTAAGAACTATAAGCAACGTACAGGATTTGGAAATGACCAAGAAGATAACTTACCTTTAATTAGCACTCCATTCCAATCTGAGTGACCGATCTTTGAGCTTTATTGTACTCGGTTACTATCCGCACAAATAATACTAACTCTAAAGAGAGTAAGACTAAAACCTGGAAGAATATATGGTTATAAATGAACAAACAAGAAAGAGGGCAAACTTACAGGGGACACAGCGAAATAGAGGTAAACAAGAATGCAACCTAATCATGTTATATTATCTATGAAGTTTCGCAATTTTACGCAAAATCAGGTCGCTATATCAACGCAGACACGTCATTGACTCGCTGATATGCCTATTATGTTGCATGTGCCCCTTGCCTAGGAAAAGCTCTTGCACCCAACACCATTACTCCAACTAAGCCGTCGCATGCATAAGCTATTCTAGCCATGCGAACGAGTCTTCAGAAGCACCAATTGTCTCACCATGAAATATAGTTGGTGCCGTCCATAATGTTCGGGTAGATTTATTGGATTTTGAGGAAACTTCCACGTCCATGTCGTGAACCTGACCTAATTAACTCCGCATTTGCATAGTTTAAAGGTACTAACCATTCGTCGCAAGATACTGTAATATTTATGAGCTAAGGATTTTATCATATCATGAGTGTAAGGGGATTCGGATATTTCAGAGAAATTTTTTTTATTTCAATTTATTTCGGCTCAGATGCATCCTCAAGTAGCACTTTGAAACCATCCAACAACAAATATAAAAAGAGTCATTTCCTAACAGCATTGAAGATGCTTAATAATAACCCAAGTGAACATTCCGGGCTGATGTCCTATCTGATACAACGATGTTTCCGAAAAAAAAATTACACAATTAAGCAAAGGCCTTTATTAAAAAAATCTCCGAATTCGAAATCAAAACGCACCAGTATTTTGGGCAGTCTATTCATTGTTAAGCACATTTTCTCTCTTTGCTTACATTTAATTGCACATATGTGCCACACTATATATATATATATATATATCGATTACAACCCATAATAGACATTAATACATGAAAATGTGCTAGAAACATATGGAAATATTTCTTTTAAATATATATATACACTCTTTTGTGCACTATCAATTACAACCACAATAGACATTAGTACATACATAAAAATGTACTAAAAACATGTGGAGCACTGCAAATATTTGCAATACCGGGATGAATTATGAATCTAAAACAGTTAACTGTTTCATCAATGAATCCTAATAAAAGCTAAGGTTTCAGAATGCTTGCAATTTCCCTCTCTCCAAATATCACTTGTTATCGAAAAAAGTGGTGAGTGGGCTATACAGTTGCAGTGCATAACATTTACAGTATCTACAAAGGGAACAAACAATAATTTTCAGGATATTCTCTGCAGATATGATAATGTGATAATGTTCAATGGTAATCGCATAAATCGCATACGTTATTAGATATTCCGTTCAGTAACTGGCGTCTGGTCACTGTGACATACTTGGCCAGTTCGACGTCGTGGTGCCCCAGGGCAAATAACCGATGCTAGACACTCTGGAGTGTTCATTCCAAATATTCCTTCCAATGCATCCATTGCTTGAGCTGCACTCACATCACCATCAACCGCTAATCTGCAAACATACTGTCAATCCTATCAAAAGAATTATGACAAAAGACAACAATAACTACTACTAACACTTTGCCAATAACTCTTCTTCACTCCATCTTGATATAAAATGTAAGCATTTGTCAATTTTCAACTTATTACTACTCTATACTAATTGAAAGGCATGTAGGATGTGACTCCCTCTAATACACGACTGGTTTTCCGATGAATTATAAGGTAACTAAACGTAAGCATATGCATATATAAGCAACAGTAAGTGAAAATAAAAGATATATGAAACTTTTATGCAAAGAAATTTGTCTATGCAATGTGGAAGACGTACATATAAAAAAAAAAAAACCGGAACCCGTCTATCAAAACTATGAATCTAACAGAAGGAAGCATGAATACAATAATATAGGTAAATTCCTTGATAAAGAGTAAAATGAAAAAGACAACGAGGTAACTATAAAAATTGTACAACTTGCAACAGCACAGCTTTCCAACCTGTACTGGTGGCATGCATCAACTGGGCGATTCGTTTTGGTCAGGAAATCACCAAGTAAACGATGAAGTCGGCTGTTCACCGTTGTCTAAAACCGGAATGATTAAATTGTTGAATTATAAAATACATATCTTACTTTTCCGAAAGCAAGGATTGTTCAGCAAATACAGACACAACAGCAAAAAAAGATAATCTATGTTGGTTATGAAAAAATTCATTAAGTAAAAATATCACTGAATAAGCAGCTGAATGCATACTTTACTTCTAACAATACAATTAATCAGAAAAAATATTTAATAAAAGTACTTTACCTCAGTCTGCTTCTTCAGTAATGTAATCGCCTTCTCATAACTTTGCGTTTTGTCGTAAAGGGCAACAAGGAGGAATACAGCGTCTAATAAATGAGGGGATATCGCTATTGCCTGAAAACTGAATTCTTCATAAGTATATCGACAGAGTGCAAGGCAAGTATTTGGACCAAATAATTTCAACCTTTTCCAGAAGTTTCTGTGCATCTTTCACTGTGGATTCGTCTTTAGCAGCTAAAGTAGCACAAAGGTACAGTGCTCGAGCATTATCTTGACCAAGAACGTGTCGACATGTACAAGCAACAATTCGAGCCTAAATCGTACAAGTTTTGCTCATATGTTTCCTTTAAATTTCACAGTAATAAAATTACCAATGATCAAAAAAACTTATACATAATGGCATAGAGAAGTGAAAACTTGTAGTAATCAAATACTAAGTAGTGCGAGTTCATATCAAATCAATGTTTTGGCTCTTTATACTTCTGGATCGAGAATAATTTTAAACTACTTTTCTAAGAGTGAACATTTGAAAAACCTACGTAGTCAAAGACAGTGAACGATGGTTTGAACTAAGCAAATAATTCATCAAAATAACCTCCTGAGTCTTTTCCTGAAGAAGAAATGCATGAACAAGAGCTTCATAAAGCGTATAGTTTGCAGGATGGATAACAAGAGCATCACGCAATTCGGCTATAGCCTCGTCGAATTTCTTTTTATCCATTAGAATAAGGGCTCTCAGCAAAACTGCCATTGGATGTACATGCCAATCCGCCAACTTGCAAGCCTAAATTGTTTAAACTACAGATTAAGTTTACTGCGAAAGGTAGTACCTTTTCATATTTCCCTGAAAAAATAAAAGAATACCTTCTCTGTGAAATACAGTGCTTTGTCGTGTCTTTTTTGGCATTTAGCAAGAAAAGCATATGCCACCCATGCTTCGGGAGTTTCCTGTGCGTCCATCAAAGTAGCCGCTAGATTTTCCAAATCTTTATAGTTTTGCTCCTGAAACCTTTCTTGTTCAATAGCACACATATAGATAAATATATGTCTCGACGGGGTGGAATTAAGAAGCAGTTTAATAATATCGAATAGTTTACCCAACCTGTGCCAAGATAAACGCCAAAATGTCCATTGAGTAAGAGGTACTAGGATCTAGATGGTGTGCTCGTCGTAGATATACAGATGCCTTCTGATTCTCTCCCACGGTATAGTGTAACCGTCCTAATTCAATCAGTATCCTGGAAGTGAATAATTAATTTTGACAATCCTCGCTTAAAAATCAAAGAATAAAGATGAATTGAATCTATTACTTCAAAGAAAAAAGAGGTAGTCAACTACAATTATAGAATCTTTGTCCCTAACTCAGGATTTTCATGTATTTGCAGAAGAAGATCAGAAAATTATCACACCGTCTTTCAGCGCAATGAATGATGTTAAGAAACTCAGATAGAGTGCTTATATTGGATTAGGTAAGAAATGTAAGAATGTGGGAAATAAAATTACTTTAAATTTCCTGGAGGTACACCAGAGAGATGAGAAATTGCATCATAATGCTTCTGTTCAGCAACAGCTTCTTGTGCTTTAAGCCAAGCCTGAACGGTGCGATTACGGTGAGATATGCAAACTCCTTCTTTCAGTCCATACCGTACAATGGATGACAAGGAATCGATGGCTTCTGGACATAATTCAACCACTTTTCTGCAAATTTATTTTCCCTGTAAACACGCAATGTTTCTGCTGTTCCGCTTCTTCCGACAATTGTTGAACTGTGTGGAATTGGTGGAGAATACACTCTGTCCGTGATATTTCTCGTGAAGGCAAATAAGACATGCTCACTTATGGTACAACATTGCATTTCCCACCGTTTTGACCTTATCGCGACTAGTATAATCATTCGAAGGTACATGATGCAGACGAGCCAACGCTGACATAACCTGAAACCAGTCCGAATGTAGATATCGCCCTTCACACTTTTTATTATTCATACTTGTACATAAATAAATGTGGAGTTGGCTGCTCATTCGGAGCACAGAATTCAATTTTTATAAATAAAGTATGCATAATTCAATTTTTACATATGCTAAAGTGACAGAAGAGGATTTTCAGCTTTCCACCACTACCATTTTTGGGCACCCACTTAATTAAGTGTCAAAATTATATGGATAATATGAATATATGGATATATATGGATAAAGTCTTCTTTTCGCGCTGTTCTTCATTACATTGATTCTTATGGAAAATTTTAAAAATAAAGAAAAATTAGGGTAGTCTGAGGGTAGTCTGGTAGTCTGAAAGTGCCTTAAAGCAAGTTATATCATAACGCTTTGTTCTTGATGTTTTGATTTTCCCCAATTCGTTTTGGATTTTTTCTGCATCCAATAATTATTAAAAATAGTTTTACCAAATTCTTGGATATCCCGAAAAGGATCAAGCAGTCCTTCACTCCTGTCAAAGCTCTAGATTGTATATGAAATTTCATTACCCCGACATTCAACAATAACTGAAAGTTAAAAAAGCAATACAATTTCTCACGTAAACGACTACTCGAAAATTTCTTTGTGAGGAGATGAAAAACACGAACTTTTGGAGTCATCTCCTCCTCGGCAATGCTACCCAAGACACCCATTGCTTCCTCTCGTTTACGCTGCTTCAGCAAACAGCGATGAAGTCGATATTTCAATTCAGCTTCAGAAAATTTCTAGAAAGCAACTCAAGTAAGTAAATGCTGCGAACTGGATCCAAAATCCATTTCCACATTAACAAAAAGTAAATTATTCCCTTTCAAGCAATTCGTCAGAGACGGATAACATACCAAATCTTTGCTGAGTGGCTTTGATAATGCCTTTGCCAACGTAATCGCACGATAAAAAGCCTGAAATGAGAAATGCACATCATCTCCTTTATCTTCAAAGACAACAGAAAGAAATGAAGTAAACACACCTCCTGACTCTTAATAAAACTGTCGCGCTGGTAGTAGGATTCGGCTACCATTGAGACCACAGTTGCAGCCTGCATGTTATTTAACATTTGTTCAGCGTAGGACAGCTCATAAAGTGTAATGACATCATCGTAAAGCTCGAAACCGAATAGCTTACTAATATCCTCATAGAAAGAATGCATTGTTCACTGTCTTTCTGATTCAGCTAAAACAACCAACACTTCGCAGTTTGCAATTAAAAATTAAAAAGGATCTCGTAAATCATCGGATATTTTCGATTCGTTTAACATAGAAAGCACTGCCACTCCCAAGACCCAAATGCAACACAGCAAATAGGTTAAAATATTACCACATTTAAATCGTGCATCATTAAAAAAACACTGCACAGCTACACAGCAAAACCATTCTAAAATGAGAAACCGAGTAATCCTTACATATACTAATAGCTTTTCGGAGTTACCAACACGAAAGAGCTGAGGCATGTAAACGTCTATGTCTTACATTACCAAAGTTGAGGAATCAGTGTTACGTCGCTGCATCTTCTTCAGTCTCGTCTCATATTTAAAATATGACTTCTAAGTATTCGGATATATTTGGACCCACGACTCACTACATTTGACTACAGTTTGTGAGAAGTAATGGAACATATTGGCATCTCTCGCAATCAGACCATCGATTCCTGGTTTTACTTAAGCAAAAGCAATGGTCATAACCACTAGGAACTAAGTACTCAAGATAGATAATGGAACAAATTTTTATTTCTCCATTTGATAAATACGAGAATATCTTCATCAAAATAGGCGAGTAAGAAATCCAGGGATAACAATAGATATGCATATTTGGGTTAGCAAATTTAGAAATTTCTAGCAGTAAGATGTGAGGAAAATATGTATAAGATCTTAACTTAACAGTATATCAAAAAAACAAGATAAACTGAGGCACACAGAAATATTTCGAAGAGGCGCATAAGTCGCGCCCATCATTCTTAGCACAATCATTGTTAATTCTCCGCATATTATTTTCATATTGACGTATTTTACGAAGTGAACAAAACACTCCCACGACAAGGTGCTTCGTGCTGAGAATAACTTATGAATTCACCGGTAAAGCATAGTCACAGATATATGTTAAATATACCATAATTCATCCACAGCAAAGCATATAAATAGGTGTAAACAAACTCTGTTTTCAGTATAAAAAGTTGAAGTTTTGCGGTAATATGGAGAAGATTTTAGGCTGCAGTTCTCTAGTTCTTTTGGAAAAATAAGCAACAGGATGATTGCTTGACTTGGGATCTTACTGTGAACTAGAAACTGTAATATATGCTCAACCAGGAAGTTGCTGAGTAGAACTTGACTAAAATACACATATGTTCGTAAACAAACACCGTGTAGTCTCCACGGACTTTGAATGTGCTTGATGGCGACAGCGAAGCAGAACAGTTCACAACGTACACAGTTACATAGACAGACAGATATATACACGCATATATATATATATATATATATATAGTATATATATATATGAATAATATAGTCAGGAAACAGCGCAACTTGCGTGAGAAACTACAGCAGAAGTATGGAGCACAAACACATGTAAGCCGATCCAGAAAGCACGATAAATTCAAGCTAAAAAGCAAGAGATCCACAGCATATTTATGCTGAGACTACGGAAACTAGAAATTCAGACAAAACGAGGGGAAATAAGTAGGATAAAAAACGCAGTGAAAGTGTCAGCTGTGAGATAATGTTTGTTTTAGAAGAAAAGCAATCAAGAAAGCGACGTAGTGGACTCCTGATAAGCAAAATATATTTGTGTTTTGGAACGAACAATTTCAAGAGATTGAAAACAAGGGTAAAGTAGCGAAGCCAGTAAAATATGTCCAAAGTTGCAATATATGTCCTATTGCCTCACTTAATGTGAAGGACGTCAGCGAAAAACAATTTTAAACTTCAAACCACAAGCAGCAGAATTAGCCAAATAGCATCACTTTCTCCAAGTCGTCAACAGCATTTCTCGATGAAAGGAAGGAATATAACAAGAAGAAACTCCTTAGATTCAGTCTAAATAACTACTGTCTCTTTTACGACAGATGGCTTGCCTTGAATTGAACCAACGGCTGAACTGTAGTGCACACGTGAATGCTTCTCGATAAAGCTGTACTTCGGTTGAATCAATTTTCTTTGGCTTTGCGCCTTGATGCAACGCACAGTTTAAGATCCAACCACTACGCTGGAGAAATGAAAACAGTGCTGTCTCCGCCAGTGAGCGTCCATCCTCACCTGAAAACACTATGTATACAGTCATGCATACCCAAAAATGACTTGATAGCGTTAGATTTTTCGGCTTTTCTTCGCCTTTTCTTCCAAACTATTATCTCATCTTGTCACGACAGAATACGGAACGAAAGATGGAGGAAGATTAGCTTTTTGAAACATTTAAAGAAGTCATTGCTACGGAAGCAGCTCTGTATTACGGGAATCTGTTGCTTCCGAGGAATGTTTGAGCCATGTGCGAGAAAACATCTGTCAAAAGCAAAGAAGAATATAAAGTAACCTCGAACTAGTTTGACAATATGTCTCGAAAGAATGAAGTAGAACTGATTCAAATGCATTACATCGACATGTTCTGGTGCTGCGCGCAAAACTTGCATTTGTATAGGACTGAATTCGGCCGGAGGTACAACCTGAACACATTCATCATAACTTTATGCTGGATGTTTTCTTTCTATGTTCTTAGAGATACCACCATCAAATAGTAAACATACCCTACAACTGGGCAGAGTTCTGATCATGAAAAGTGGCAAATCTGCCTGACAGAAACCTCCTTCCATATCGGGCGCTCTTTGACCAATTAAGTGAAAGATCTCTAAAATTGTAAACATGATTGTGTGGCAGGAGGCGAACAATTGCTGCTGGAAATCATTGACACTGATGCCAAGAACTTTAAAAAACAATTTACCTCGAGGAAGAGGACTAGAGAACAAGCACCTAAGGCTTTGCTTGCACGCTAATATATCCTTCATGTCGTAGTAGTTTTTGTCCACATCCATAAGTACTGATTTCGTTCTTTCCATTTTTTCCTGTAAGTAACAAACTGTATCATATTACGAACTAGTAGACCACAGTGCTTGGAGAGCGTGACATATCTTGACTCTTTTACCCGCTTGCATTTCTCTGGCTACAGGTGTTCTTCTAAAGCCATCATATCATATTCCTACCTCACTTTAATTGTATTGCTGTGATGAACAGAGTCTAACAGCACCAGTAAGAGTCGTTGGTCAGATGATTATCACCGTAATCAGCAAAACGTCCAACGTCATCTCATCTTGCGAGCTTAATATTTAACAGTCGTTATTGTAAGAGTTGATATTAGGTAAAAATTGAAGGATTATTGGAAAATTAATAAAGGAAAAACATTTAAAATGAGTGGTGCTGGAAGTCACTGCTAAAGAAGAAAGCTCCAAGATATTTTTGCACGAGAGAGTAGGTAAAGGTCAGCCTTGAGTGCTTTGAGCTTTGAATGTCTTCAGAAACATGTACGAAGATTCTTTTCATTGTTTTTCAACCAGTTCCTAGCTTTTTCGACATAGTTTTCCTGATTCTCTGCTATTCCTTTACGTCAGCAGAGGTTATGCATCACCAACATGTCATGTTTCCACCGTACTTATATGGTATTCTGTATAAAGGATCCAATAGAATTTATTCGATGCTCAATGAATGTGTGCATCATGTAATACATATCAAAGCAACAATAATAACAATCAGCATGACGTCTTATAACAACAGATAACATATTACCAGTAATATCCACGGAGAAAGTGAGTAAACAATCAGTTAAAATACAGCAAATGGAGCTCAATTTAGACTCTAGATTAATGTAACGCAAATCTGAGTGACGTAGACCAATATTTCACTGCTTCATACTGGAAGCCCATCTCATATCGTTGAGGAAAAAAGAAACACATGACGCCCAATTCACCTCATGTCCGTGTCCATGTCGTACCTAGCAGACCATAAAATACCCACCCAGCCATTGAGAAATAGATGGGTCTTTTGAAATGAGTGGTGCTGGAAGTCATTTTTGAAGAAGAAAGCTCCAGGACATTTTTGCGCGAAGAAGTAGGTAAAGGTCAGCAAATTCCTTGGCATTAACAGGACCGCACTGGTCAGATAGGCTGACACCGAGGGAGGAAAGGATGATGGTGCAGAAGGGGGCCAGGCTCCTCTTCAATGCTCCGGAGAATGATAACTGCGAAGGCAGTGTGCGTTTTGCTAATCTTGAATCACATCATTCACTGAAGTAATCATGTTTGGTTTCGTTCACTTTTTAGATCCGTAAGGGATGTTCCTATTAGGTCTGAGAAAAACGCTTTCATGCGACAGAGAAGAAAAGAAAGTCGAATCGATTACTTCATCGCCACTAGCATACTGAAGTGCCTAAAAATAAAATGATTATCATTTATTGGTTTTCATCCGTCCCACCGAAGTGATTGCCTCATATAATTTCGTTTTATTTGTTAAACATAATATCTTACAAGTTTGTATCCAAGGTACGGTCTCAAGATGGTTAACAGCATGTATACACGAGAGCTAAAACTGCATTATGTAATATACAATGCAGTAAACTTTTAGTACTTTAGTCTTCATTTCACTAAATAACAGAATAACTGTTTTATTAGTCTACAACTAAGGCACGCTAACCTGAGGCTAATATGAGGAACATTGCTGCACTGAGTGACTTGATTCGGTTAGTTGACCCAACACTTTTTATGTCTTGTATTCTTCCAGGAAGTTTTGCTGTAGTATTGTTGAACAGCTTCACAGAACAACGCGGTATCTTGTCAACTGGATTGCAAAAGTCAGTTTGACATTGGCATCGCAAAAGGATCGAGTTGTACGGTATCTCATGCTGATCACAACCTGTAAAGCCACATCATCTGTCGGGGAGCATTATAATGAAGTTTCTACGAGATTCGACCAAGAATTTCTGTTGAACATACACAGTGTAGGGAGTTTAAAATGTTGCAAATATTATTAGCTTGATTACCAGTGAATTCATCGTCGGTGCATCCAGAAATCCAGAAAGGAGATGAACCTCGTACTTCTGCAAAGAAGCAGTAGCTACGGTTGCACTTGGTTACATCTGGTTCGCAACAACTACCGGCCGGTATCATCCAGCTTTCCTCTGCCAGCATCTTACCGTGACAATACCAACAGTTGAGAGAAGTGACGGTGATTAAACAAAGTGTACAAAGCATGAACAGGGAAAATAGACGGTGAAAGAACATTGAGAAGAAACAACTGAAATAAGGACTTGTTCTGAATTGCAGTTCAAATCGAAATGTTAGTTTAGAAACGAATTGAACTCGATGGTTCGACACTCATTTCTCGTGTGTTCTGAAAGTCAGATACCATTTCACATACCTATCGTCTTTTCATACTATTAGCAGTTGTGCTGTATGATGTCATTCATACTTATATGTGTGTCCGAGTTCATTTATTTAACTCATATCCATCTCCATACCGTATACATTCATCCTTACGTTCGTTTTCATATTTGTATAGAGAAAGGAATAAAATGCCTCTAGCACTTTATCCGCACGATTAATTATTCCGATATTCATGCTGATTTCCCAATTACTCATACCAATCGCATAGTTACGATCGATATTGCTATACGCATACTTATTTAAATTAGCTCAGCGAACACTGAGAAAGTATGCCTAATAAATAAATTAAGAATAGTATAGTTTTTTGCGAGGTTTACTCTAGATGGAAAAGAGTAGTGCTTGATCAGAATGAACGATGAGTACTTCATCTTGATAAATTAAATTAGTAGCCTTTGCAAAGAATGGAAGAAAAATGAAGGGTTTTATTGGTAGAGTCAAAATTGAGTTCTAAAAATCAGCTTGAAATTTAAATCTATTTGGTACGCATTGTACGGGGAACTTCGTTGAGTTTATTAAGAACGCCCATTTATCCATCCGTTTGCATTGCTTATAAGCCTATTCCCAAGTTTTTTCATTAAAGACCACCGCTGCACCTTTATTTCTCCCAACCCATACTATAGTTCGTCGAGAATGCTTGGCTGAAGCAAAATTCGTTGCAAGAGAAAAGAAAAGTTATCGCTTAGCGATAGGACATGAATAAAGAATGGTATGCGGGTGGAGCAATGCTAGCTGCCGCTGGTAATTTAATTTCAAATACTGCTTTTCAAACGTCCATCCCGTACCCTGTTGTCCAGTAAATAGAAAAGGTAAGGACGAGAAGCTTCCAAATCAGTAAAGCTATTATGCTGACAGGGCTTCGAGCAGAATATGAATCAAATTAGCGTTGCATGTGGACATATTCAGCTGTAGAAGAGGCCATAGCGTAAGAGGGATTAGTTAATGACATTGAAGTATTGTGGGGGTAACACAGATCTTTTAGAATACCCTCACTGAAGTAGAATGACTTACAGGAAGAGATACTGTTACCAAAGTGGTGTTTACGAAACCAATAAGATTTGCGAGTGAAATGAATGGAAGCGCGGATAAGCCTAATGAAGACAATATTGTAGTGTTTAGATTTTTTGACTGCAAAAAGTAGACCAGTAACGACGGGCTAATCGAAAGTACTCATGTTTCCCACGGATGCTATTTCGGCCTAAACAAGTAAGACTGCGAAGGGCTAGACGAGAAATATGTCTAAAATATTCGGGATAGGTGCTGAATTAAAGGAATATAAGCTAGCAATATGCAAGTTAAATATTGCGACTAGTCAAATTCGAGGAATACTCTCAATATCAAAAACTGCTAACTGGAAATGCTATCCAGTTGAAGCCCTAGCCATCAAAGTTCTCATTTTACGGTAATTCAAACTTCATCATAAATTTTTACGGAAAAATAAACAAATGTAAATTGGAATGAGGAATCAAATTCCGGAATAAAAAAGCGTTCCCTTTATAATATATTTTTTTCTCAAAAGACAACTCCGAAATAGCAATTGAGAAATAGCATCCTCAAAAATGCCGATGCATATATTTATGTTGAGACAAATCCCTAGTCGTTCCAAAGATCTTGCCTAATATGCATGAATGGGATCTCACGCATAACTCTGCAGTTCTTTAATGTGACAAAATTTATTTCGCAATTCAAACTTGCATAAATCACTACCAAACTGTAGATAACAAAATAATAACAAACTGTAAGGATTTCATAAGACGAAAATACCTATATACTATTACGATTTGATTTGTATATTTTGACAACATAAGCATGTCGTCGGTGTATATTTCCAATTTTACAATGCGGATCAAGATGGGAAAAGAAAAACAGAGGGTTAAAGACCGAAAAAGGGGAAAAAAACTTAGAATCCATAATGTAAAAAGCACAGGTGTACAGCAAAACTCGATAATGCGGAATTATCAATAACACTATTAGGGATTTCCAAAACTTCAAACTTGTTGCGCATACCCGATAAGGTAACCACGTATCTCTTCATTAATACAACTTGCTGAATCTGCTTTGAGAATTACAGCGCGTACCATTACAGCTTCGGCCAAATAAGCTGCAACGAAACAACTATACCTTCAAGATCTTTCTGACTGCTACAGACAGCATAAAAACCGAATAAGCTTCACAAAAACTTGAGACAAGTCAGGACTAGAAAAAGATGGCTACATCTGAACAAGTGAAGAGAGGTTGGACAATAAAAACATAGTCACGTATGTACATGATGAGAACTTCCCCTCTTCCCACAGAAAAAAAAAAAAGAAAAATATTTGAACATCAAATCCACTGAAACGAAGAAAGGATTCCCGGATTGCCTCAAGATTCACAAAAATGACAAGCAACAAAGCAAAAGATAGCGCTTGCTCGCATGCCAGCAGAGAGTTAAATACTTGGATGCATGCTGAGGCCTTGATAAACCAAAAAAGATGGAGAACCTTTAAAATTGACAATTTCGGCAGCGATTACATCTGGATGCTGTGCATTACTCAGCTTACAGTAGGGATCATTCCGTTCCAATTCCAGTGTAGAGAGTCCTATTCCCTGTTCTTCAACATCATCAGCATTCAAGGAAGTTGGTCCACAACCGGAAGCTTCCACCAACCGCACTAACGACTCTACCAGTATTCCATACTGCAATCTATAAAAGTGGATATATGCAAGTCAGTCAAACTATGAATGTGAAGTTGTTTCATGTAAATTAATTGGAACTGTTACATTATGCATAGCTTTTAACTAAGTGAAAGATTTAATGTGCCCAAAGTGATGGAATTAACGCACGACAGATATTTCGTTAATTAAACTTTGAAGTGAATGGCAGAGATCAACTTACCCCAATTTATCCACTGTTTCAGCTGCAAGATTGGCAAAACCAATGCAACACAGTCGTTTTTCATCATAGGTTGTGGTATTGTACATTTTGCCCAATTCAGGAATGAGGATTTTCTCGACAACCATTATGAACATACCCGTTTGTATTGATTCCAGAACCTGAACAAGGCATGTTCATACTTTATTTTGCAAAAAGAGAAAACGAGAGAAAGGTAGACCTGATAGAGAATTACACTTCCTTGCACAATCGCAAACCGGGCCAGAAACAAGACGAAATTCTTCATGAATTTGGTTGTTTTCGTAAACTGAATCCGTCGTAACATTGGGATCAAGAGTGCGGATTCTGTTAATACATCAGCTTGCTGAAAATCATAGAGAGGATCTTGATTTCTAGTAGTAGTTCTTTATTTTTCTTTACAACCAAAGATGTTAAGATTAAACCCCACATAAAACAGACATACATTTAAATAGTGCAGGAATATACTGGCTAGCTGGAAACCATGTTGATCTAAAGCTTTCGAAGAAATTAACTTCTGGAAGATGGCCAAGAGACTGTTTGCATAATTATCCAAAATATGTTTGCCGTGACTGCGCATAAATGATTCAATAACCTAGAAACCAAAACGGTTCAAAATGATGATTGCAAAGAGAATGGGATAGGAAACAACAAAAAATCGAAAAACAAAAAAAAAAACAAATGGAAAACAACAAAAAATTAAAAAACAAAAAAGTAAAAAATCAGACTTACCAATAAAGCAGCTGGAATATTCGCTGTTCGTAGCCACAATTCACCTTTCATGAGATTACCAAAGAAAGGCAAATAACTATCCACGCAGGACATACCTGTCTTCTGTTTCTGAGCTTCGGCCTGATCCAATAAAAGGGCTGTAATGAATTTATAGCAATTTTTTCATTCAGTAACAAAACCTATCACTACAAATTCACTCAAAATTATTAACCTGTGATTTGCAGTGCATATGGCACAAAATCGATAGCGTCTGAGGAAAAAATACTCTCTATAAGAGGCACCACGAAATTATCAATGCCACCATCCACTACTGCGTAAACCTATAATTCAAAAAAGATGAATCGTGTGAAAGATTTGAAAGACGAGGTCAGCTGCAATTCAATATAGCGCTTTGAAAAAATCATTTGCAAAATGGTTTGTTCAGGAAAATTTCATCTTCCCAAATATAAGAGTGAAAAATAAACGGACGTATATATTACTAACCTGTCTAATCAGTACACACAGTGACTCGAAGACAAAATGAAGATGCAACGGATTAACTGGATTTTTTACAGCAACGCCAATCATAGTGGCCAGCTTATTAACAATGTGGGCAGAACTTTTTGCTGTTTCCGTCTATAATAAAACTCACATTGAAGACCAAATGAACAAAAATAGTCATAACAGTGTGAAAGTGTGTACTGACGATGAAATGACCACACGAAATTCCGAAAATATCACTTGCACAGCTCTACTTTCATCATTTAAATGCCATTTAATTGACAAATGCTAAATATTTCTCTCTAAAATTAGTAATTTTTTCCTTCTTAAAGCTAAACACTAATCTTGAAAGACCCTCATAACTTCATGTAGCATGCGAAAGATCTCACTGATGTAAAGATTTCACTGATATAATACCATCGCAATCATAGCTGTTTTATGAAAAAAAAAAACAAGTGACATCTTCAAACAAAACAAAAACAAAGATGTTGAAACCGTTCTTTATGATATGCAGAATAATTTAATAATTCCGATTCTTTAATGTTTTGCACAATCATAGCAGTTATTTTTCAAAGGGAAGTTATGAACGCGTCCAAATAACATTCTTTAAAATATGAGAAAATACCAATGATTTGTACATCGTTTATAAACCTGAGCACTAGAAACCTCTTTAGGTTAACCAACAAAAGAAAATAACATGAAAGATAACCAGAAATAAGCCTTCCTTACGTCGATAATGTTGAAGCAACGCATCAAAGCCTTCATGAGATAGTGTGAGTTCTGTGCCTTCGGATCAGCTTCAAAACAAGCGAATAAAGCAACGATCAGTGGGCCTAATGGCACATTTTCATGCGTTAATAGAACCTTAAATGCCGTTGCAGAACTTTGATTAAAAATAACAAACGCTTTAAAGAAACAACAGAATTACAGTGAGCATATAAAGGATAATTGGTAAAGCACATATAGAAACAAACGTATAAAAATGCACCTTTCCAGTTTCTTTGCACTTCACAAGCATAAGTCTTTCCAGAGCATAAGCGGTATATTGGTGCAGGATTGTATGCTGCGAAGTAAGTAGTTTCAAAAAGGCATTAATGACTTCTATTAAATGATCTGACCGTAAGTGATTCCGGAACACGACAATATACTTCAGTGCATCAGTCTTTAATATTGGTAATGCATTGACATCATCCATAAATATGTCACTATGTACGTGTGTCTGATAAAAATCGACTACATCCACCTGAAAAAAATTCTCAATCAGAAGTTAAAATTTCCAAGGTGACGTAAAGAGACCACTCCTGTTTAAACTCATTCCTATTCTACTTATCATAAGAAACTTATAAAACATACGAGATCACTAGTAACAGTTGCTCCATGTTTTACAGTTTCTGCTTTCACTGCAACTGCTGTTATTAGACAATAAACAACATCTTTCTTCAGCCAGTTATTAGTAAGATCTGCTACACTTTCTTGCAAAAATGATTGCAACACCCTTGATAAGATGCCTAAAATTCGGGATTCGTCAGGTCGGCGGCAAAGTGCTCGCAAGAAATCACTTGCTCCGCGACGTCGAGTACCAACATCAGAGCCTATAACTAAACTATTAAAACGAAAGAATTGTCTAGCAGCATTACTCTCTAAGCATACTGCATCAGAGGGTAATTCCAGCTCATCGATGATTACCACTCGAGGTTTTATAGCAGATGTCATCTAGAAAATTACTAACAAAATTTCGGAATTCTCTTGTTCCACGAACCAATTCCGTCTTTGAAAATCTCAGTACTAGTAAAATGAAGAAATAATATGTGACGGCAAAAATTGGCAAAAGCTAGAAGTGTATTAATACAACGCAATGAAGATTGAAAATGGATTATCCCGTTAAGAAATGAATCACCAGATGAAGCAAAAAAGTGGAGTCAAAGGACGGGCCACTGAGAGACATCTTCACCTAATAGTTTCGGCCCAGTTTAAATAGATAAATTATAATAGAAACTGATAAAGTCAAAGAAGAAGCTTTGATGTAAGTACCTTCAATATCTTTTCTCATATACTCAAAAGAATCATCCTCGAAAAGCTCAAAATCGCATTTCCTTAGCATCACATTCTTAATTATCACATCCTCATATAATGTCTTTAACATCTCCTCGTGCTCGAAAATTGCTGAATATTGAGATCGTTGGCAAACCGATGATAGAAAATCAAGCGAAGCGTTTACTAGGGTGTCATACCTAAGAAATTAAAAGGATTAGTAACATACATCCATGTCCTTTTCTTATTCTCTCCAAATAATGTATGTGTTTTTTCCTCAATAAAAATGAACCTTGCTTTTTCATCGATTGAAACAAGAAGCTGCCAAACACATTCGATTAGCCAACACCTTTGTTCTGCTTTCTCCTGTGCAGCTGAACCTTCATCGCTGGGCATCATGAAAGGCATTATTTCTTCTTCGTATCGCTGCATTCAAGTTTCATTACTTTTAGAAATAAACAGCAAAGGATTTGAGAAATGGATTGAAAACGGGAAAATGTTCAACCTGGGAGTAAAGAGTGATAATTTCACATATACAACACTTTAGCTTATCCAGAATATTAGCCTCTGAATCAATACTTCTCGCATCCATTTGAGAAATTTGTAATCGCAATAGTGCAATAAAACCATTTATCCATGTACTTAGGTTATCCTGGAGATATTACACGATAATACATAATAAAATACGTTTTATAAGAATGAATTCATCCTTTTGTTTGAAGTTTTTGCGTCTAATACTTCTAACAGTACCAGTTTAGGAAAACATCTACTGACAACAGCTAGGTCAAATGCTTACCTCAAAATACTCCGGCAAATCTTGTGAACAAAGAGAATGAAAACACTTCGTGATCAGAGTAGTAACTTCAATCCATGCCTGACATTCTGCTTCCGACATCAGTTGCTTATTTGGAATGCATTCTACCATTTTTGCAAATAAATCGGTTAATGGTGCTGCTATCTAAACGACAGAATAGAATGCAAAGCAAGAAACATTCGTTTTGCCAAACACAATTCAGATTATAGTAATAAACGCACCGCCTGAAGGACGATGACCAGCTCCTGCCATAATTTATTGGATTTCACTTCATATCTGTACTTTTTACAGAGCTCATCCAGCGTATATAACGTCGATGTAAGTTTATCTAGATCAATTCCTGTTAGATTCTGGGCCAAAACTGTGATTAGATCGGGCCATTCTTCAGGAAAGTCATGCTTTCCCATAACGCACACTATCTGAGACAATTGCTTCTGAACATTACCTGCAAACGTTCCATTAAAATGGCGTGCCATACAACGATATACATGATAGTGCATAGAAGTCAGAAAAATTCGAACAAAGTATTCGTGAAGATACATACCAAACTAAGTAACGTGAGAAAATATCTACCTGAAGTGGTAAGCATACTCTTCAGTGCCCTCGACCGCAATTGTGCTCGTTCTGCATCGTTTATTTCAACCAAGCACTTCTCCTTATTCTGGAAGAGTTTGCAGGATACAGACAGCTGTAGTAGTGTGAGACAAGAAGTACTGAAGTTAAGACAATGCTGTAGTATGAAATAAGAAACACCCAATGGCTAATGAAATTATCCTTCCGATCTTCATTCCTTTACGCTTGCCAACTTTGGTTTTTTCCTTTTTTTTTTGTCCAATAATAAAAACACAAACTTATCAATGTAGACTTTTAAAATTGAGATGCAAAACAGAAACATTGCGTATTTTCACACCCAGGCTTTGGAATCCATTAAAGAGATTTAAAAAAACATAGCTATGCAAGGAACAAATGCAAACAGTTGTTCGAACAATAACGTTTGTCAAACATGTTGGAAAACTCACAACAATAGATATAATCACATCTAATGTGATCCTTGGAAGATCGAGAAAACAGAAGAGCGAAGTTCGGCTAAAAAAAAAAGGATTGGAAATATGGAAATACATACCCAGTTTTCTCTGATGAAATTCTTGAGTGATACTGCCGAGGCCAATGCAACTGCCGGGAGCGTTTGTTGATCGAATAGAAGATCAAAACAAACCATCCCAAATCCTAATATCAAGAAACACGATCCGAAAAAGTCATTCAGAGAAAAAGATAACAACTAAAGCAAATTATCAGGGAAGAGTTTATTTTGGAAAGAAACTAGTTAAAAAACATTAGAAACCGAGGGGAATCGAAGAGAGTTATAATCATTTATTCAAATGTAATCGTAAGTAGTTATCCTAATATCGTCAAGTGATACTAGTCAGTAAAAATGTATGGGCAACTTACCAGGCAACTGCTCCATTTGTTTCAAGTCATTTTCTGCAATCCGTCGAACTTGTGCGTTTGGTTCCAGCGTTCGCTTTAAGCATTCAGCTACCACCATCGCTTCTGCTCCCGAAGCCATTTTATCTGTAAAGTAGCTTCAAGCTCAGTAGAAACAACAGAGATGGATGAAACAAAACGGAAAGAATGAGCAGCACCTGCAGGTGAAAATCTTCAACCCCACAGCATAATCCCAGCTTATCAAGAATGTGTCCAAACCGTATGAAAATCGACGTCCCACAGAGTCATTTATATATTGAAATAAAAAAATAAAAAACGAAATTGGAGGGGAGATTCCGGTAGCGATCAGAACAAAATTATGGGATTGGATAGAACAACAGATGATGACTTGAAAGGATAACTTCTCCCTCTTGTCAGCTTCATCCTACACTTTCTACTCTACTGTCCATGTTGTAACTGCTGTGCACTTTTTTCTACTACCATCCATCCACCTCAATTTGACCATACAGTGCTTTTTATCATTAGTATTTCCTCTTCATCTCCCCCCGAGCTGACTTGTTGCCAATACTGAAATTGGCTCTTACGTTAATTTCTACCATCGATTCAGTGATGGAATTGTGGTAACACCACATAGCACTTGATTCACTTCCCGATGATAGCTGATAAGAAAGCATGAAGAAGCTAATCCTTGGGCAAAGGGAAGAAAGCGCAACGTGAGCCAGCTGAGTTAGCTCACTGACACTTTTTTCCTTCCGGTGGAGTGAAAGACCTAGCTCTTTCATTAATATGTGGAAGTACGCTGAAAGTTTGCTTTTGTCGAGAATGGTGTGCGGACCAACCAGTTGTGGACAGGACAAAATTGAAAGAACTGACCGCATACCTGTGCAATTCGTGAACCATGCTTACATGGAGATTATTGTTATTAGCCATGCCGGTTTGGAACATGATCACAAAGCGTTGTTAGAGCCTTCGAATACATTAATCACTATCACTTCAATAGTTTAGATCTTTAGGTCTCAACTGACCAAAATCGATAGTGCAGAAGAAACTGTTATACGACAGTACAACGGGTTACACCGTCACACATGATAGAATCTGATCCCCTAATCAAACTGTTGCACATTGACAGACACAAAAACAGCTGGCTTTTCAAAATATATTGGACATATATTATGAAGGCCAAAGTATTAAGGAATCTTTCGTTTTGAATATCGAAGGATACCGTATTCCTGAAGTTTTTACGATTTATTAGCAAGTTCGAAGCCTAGTGACAAAGTTTGTATCCGAGAAACATTTATTAAAAATTCAAAGTTCCGTGGTTCCCACTTTTTAAAAAATTTTTTTTTATTTTACTAGTCATCTTAACATTGATTTGGATTTTTCTTTTCCAATTCAAAATCACATGACATCTGATAAT